AGCCTGTACATGTATGCACCTGGGATGACCATCTTTTCGTGTCCCTTTCAAGGCTCAGGATGGCCCGCGTGTTCGCCATGCTCCTCAGCCCCAGGATTGCGGGCATGTTCTCGCCAGACCCCTCGGCAACGTTGGTTGAGCAGGCGTCTAGCTTCGCGATAGCGGGTTTCACCGCGGAGTCTCCGTTGCATGTGCAGGCGATTCTATAATGCCCTGACGTCCTGCGCACTGCGGCTCCTTGACCCACTCGGGTCGCGTATCGTGTCTTTTCCAGGTTCAGTTTCTTGATGCCGTGACCATGTGAGCGTGAGACGCGCTCATATGCCTGCGCAGCTTTCAAGCCAATGGTGCTTATGTTGCTACCGATGTCCAACCGTATAATCAACATTACATCAGTCATGGTCCCACTGTTAGCTGCCAGGGCAAACTCATGTCGTTCCCCGAGTGTGCCCTGCACAATGGACAAACTGGTACCGTGCATGCCTTTTGCGGCGCTTCTGGCCCAATACCCACTGATCCCTCGTCATAGAAGTGAATGCGTTCACGTACGCCCTGCTCTCCTCCTTTGTACTTGGATACTGCTGGAGAATCCATTCAGAAGGGTATTCATCATCTCGAAAACAAGGTACTGCTGCGTAAAAGGCATATGCCCGAAAAAACCCTCATCGGCACGCACGGCGTTGTGACCATCCGGGTTAACCATCAGCACAGTACGCAGCATGCCAAACTCGGATATAGCGTTGGCGCCGCTTCGCACACTCACTGGGCGATCAGTCCTGCGCGAGCGTAGCGGGTTCCCCCGCGCTCTGCCATATGGCGTGCTGGATCCCTCCACGCGCCTAAACCATGCGTCGTTCGCAGGTAGCCCTGCGGGTGTCGTTGCAGCAGGTGTCCCTGCAATGGTCGTTGACTCGGCTACCAGCGGCATCTGCATGTCGGCAGTTGACGTCGCGGCTGCTGGCTTTGACCACAAGTATGGAGGTGCAGCAGGTTGCCCCGCAGAAGCGGCTAACGTCCCCGCTGGCACCGTGGAGCCTGCCATCATGGCCGTGATCGGGTGTTCTTCCCGAAGGTCCCTGAGTTCATTTGCCCCGCGGGGTATTTCTTCATGTCGGTCCTCCGCCTTATGCTCTCCTGCGAGGGCGTAGTGGAACCCAGCTGCGATAAAGCCTACACCTTGGCATGTTACATGTGGCACATGGTGCCTCGTTTGGGGCACCCTCCAGCTGTCGGTCCACGTGCGCCTGTGCAAGAGTCCCAACGATGCGCGTGGAATATATGGCCACGTTGGAGCCTCCATACATTATCGTGGTATGCAAACTCTTCGAGGCATATGGCACACTTCGTGACATCACCGTCACTGGTGGTCGGTGGCGTTGCTGATGGTCTCGTGCGTCGTGTTGGAGCCCTGGGGTGCTGTGTTGGCACCTTCGTGGGGGAGTCGGAGGCGGTCTTGTCACGATCCTGGTGGCCTCTTGGGCCGTTTGAGGGCGTGGAGAAGCCCGAAACGCAAAACTAGAAACGTAAACAAACCACCGACATCAACGACTTATGTTTCTTGGGGCTCTTGTGCGAGTGCTTCTGGAGACTCCTTGGCTCGCCTTGGAGGCCGATCGGGCAGCGGGGTAGCCTCAGAGGCATGCGGAGCCCTCTGTTAACGATCCAGGGCGTTCTTGAATCGTCTTCGGGGCCTCTGGAGACTCCGCTGGACCGTTTTGGGGCCGCCTCGGACGTCTCTGAGGCGCCCCCTGTGCCGTCTTGAGACCCTCGGATACTGTAATTTGAAACGGTCTCAGAGCGAAATGCTTGCTGCTGTCTCATACTTCCTGCCTCTTGTCTTCTATTCCTTCTCGTCTTCCTTCCTTCTCTCCTTCGTCCTGCCTGCGTCCCTGAGGGGCTGCGAAGTGCACAACTGTAACCACGTTCGAGGTTTCTTAAGAGGTCCCGCGGAGTGGGGGGACACGGGGATCCAGTTGGAACCTCGCGGCTCTGGGGGGCTGCGCAGTGCGCAACTGTCGCCACGTGCGTAGGCTTCTGGGAGGTCCCTCGGCGTGGGGGGACACGGGGATCCAGGTGGGACCTCGCGGCTCTCCTGGGGGGCTGCGAAATGCGCAACTGTCGCCACTTTCGTGGGCTCCTGGGAAGTCCCGCAGCGTGGAGTTGTACGGAGATCCAGTTGGGACCTCGCGGGTCCCTGGGGGGCTGCGAAATGTGAAACTGTTGCAACTTTTATGGACTCCTGGGAGGTCCCGCGACAAAGGGGATCCAGCTGGGACCTCGCGGCTCCCTGGGGAGGGGGGGGGGGGCTGGGAATGGCGGAACTGTCGCCACGGTCGCGGGCTCCTGGGAGGTTCCGCTGCGTGGAGTTGCACGGTGATCCACTTGGAACCTCGTGGCTCCCTCGAGGGCTGCGCAGTGCGCAACTGCCGCCACGTTCTTGGGCTCCTGGGAGGTCTCGCGGCGTGGAGTTACACAGGGATCCAGCTGGAACCTCGTGGCTCCCTGGGGGGCTGCGCAGTCCGCGACTGTCGCCACTTGCAAAGGCTGGGAAGTCCCGCGGCGTGGGGTTGTACGGGCGATCCAGCTGGAACCTCGCGGCTCCCTGGAGAGCTGCGCAGTGCGCAACTGTCGCCACGTGCGTGGGCTCCTGGGATGTCCCGCGGCGTGGAGTTACACGGGGATCCAATGTAGACCCCGCGGCTCCCTGGGGGGATGCGATTTGCGCAACTGTCGCCACGTGCGTGGGCTCTTGGGAGGTCCCGCGGCGTGAGGTTAAACGGGGATCCAGCTGGAACCTCACGGCTCCCTGGAGGGCTGCGCGGTGCACAACTGTCGCCACTCTCTTTGGCTCCTGGGAGGTCCCTCGGCGTGGAGTTACACGGGGATCCAGTTGGCACCTCGCGGCTCTCTGGGGGGCTGTGCAGTGTGCGACTGTCGCCACTTGCGTGGGCTCCTGGGAGGTCCCGCGGCGTGGAGTTGCACGGGGATCCAGCTGGAGACCTCGCGGGTCCCTGGGGAACTGCGAACCGACAGCTCGCAATCACACTGCACTGAATGCAGCGGCCCTGGTCCAGGACGAGAGGTCCTTATACATGGAAGTAGTATGAGGCACCCCTATACAAAAAAACGCTTCGGTAACGAATCTGGCTTGCGGGCCCCAAGCATATACACCACCACCACCACGTCGACTGCTCCTCCCTCCTCTACCCTATTATTCCTCTCCTCGTTCCTGGGAGAGGGAGGGATGAGGGAGATGGTGGTGGTGTATGTGTTTGGGTCCCGTGCGGCTGGTTTCAGAGCAGGAGTGCCGTGTGACGGCGCTCGCATTGCTTAACCTGTGGGAATCGATGCAAATTTGCGCGGGCGTTGCTTGATCCGATGTCCAAACCACCCCCACAAGAGTTTGCAGCTTCTCGTATGCACTCCCAGAACTGCAAACGAACAGTGTCGGCAAGAGCGCTCAAGCGATTCGCAGCCGATTGCGCGTCAAATATCGAACCATACCCATTATGATGCCGCCACCCTGGGTTCCCCAGGGAGACTTGGTAGGCCCATTATGAGGTGGCGGTTTACATGGTCGCACGAGGACAGACAATCCGCAACTCTGGACATCAGCAGAGGCGCCCCTGACCGATCGATCACAGGCGTACGAGATCGGTCCCCGAGTCTCCGGAAGCCCCCCCCAGCGGCCCTTCTGAGCGTAGAAGCACTCCCCCCCTGTGTAACAAGTGATGTGATTACCGCTTGACCATGGCCTACTCATTCCTCTCCTATCTTTCTATCTCGCCCTCGCTCTCTCTCTCGCTCCATCTCACTCTCTTTCACTCTCTCTCTCTCTCTGCCTCTCTATCTCCCTTTTTTCTCACTATCTCGCTCTCTCTCTCTCTCTCGTTATCCTCTTTCCGTGATACTCTGCATCTGTTGTGTTATGATATAGTATAACGCTCTCGTGCTCTCTCTCTCTCTCTCTCGCTCTCGCTCTTGCTCTCTCTCTCTCTCTCTCACTCTCGTGCACTCTCTGTCTCATCCTCTTTTTTCCTCTCTCTCTCTGTCTCTCGGCATGGCTGCGAGCAGAGACCGCGCCAGAGGGACAACTCAACGACGAGCTGGAGTGGTAAAACTCCCACTGGACACAAAGTGCAAGAGGGGCGCCGAAATCAGGCGGGGACGCCATGCGACTTTGCCAGTGAGCCGTCAGTGTGGCTACCTCTAACGACAAGAAGCGCGTAAGGGTCTGCCGAAATAAAGCGAGGCCGCCATCCGGACTTTGCCTCTCGTGCCTTCGCTGGGCCCCCCCCCATGATGCCACGAAGTGTGTGCGGCGTGCGTCGGCACAAGCTGGAGCAGGAGGAGCAGGAGGAGCAGGAGTAGCAGGAGTGGAGGATGAGGAGGAGCAGGAGGACAGGAGTGGAGGAGGGAGCAGAGGAGGAGGGAAGGAGTGGAGTGGAGGAGGAGGAGGAGGAGGAGGAGGAGGAGGAAGGAGCCTGCCCTGCCCTAGCGGACACAACATTTATGTGTTCAGTGCCTTGTGGTTCTTGAGATCGGTGGTCTTCTGTTCACTATTCCAGGCTTGGGGGTGTCCCGATTCCAAGCTTCTGTCTCGAAGATTCCGCAGAAGGCTGTTGATTCTGGGGTTCAGGGCGGCTCCGCAGCTCTTGGTTATCCAGTGTGGTCCCCCTGCCCCACTCGAGGATGCATCGGGGAACTCCTCACTGGAGTGGTTTTTTTGGTGGTGGTGGTGGTGGTGGTGACGCTCATCCTTCCTCCGATCCCACGGGCGCCCCAGGAACACGAGATCAAGCAACGTCGAATCGGGAAATCGGATCGCATCGGAGTGTGCAGTCGGACCAGGCTGCCTCGGCACGGAGTCAAAACCGAATCGGGTCGGCATCGCCAGGATGCGCAATGGCGCCCGGCTAACATCGGGCCGCATCGGATCGTCGGCATATCGGAATCGGACCGGAGCGGATCCCAAGGAGCCGCCGAGGCGGGTGCCCAGCCTGAGGACGACGAAGCAAAGGAGCAGATGGCAGTACTGCGTGGAGACCTGCGCAGGCAGGGCTTCCGAGCTGAGAGGAGGGCTGGCCGCTTGCGACGTCAGCGCACGCTGGAGAAGGGAAAGGCAGAAAACGGGCCCATGGCTGAAAACCTAAGCTAAAGTACGGAGGACTGGGGCCTGTGTTTTCCATGTTGTAACTTCTAGCGCATGTTGGAACGATGCTTGTCCATGCCTTTGCATGCACACGATCCGAAATAAATTTGGTTCAGAAGAGTCCTGAAAGGGACGGTCAGTTTTGTACCCACGAAATTCTGCTACACGTAAGGAGTGACCCTAGGCACGAGTGACCTTTGGTGCGCGGCTTTCGGGGGACCGCGGCGGGGAGGGCATCCCCAAGCGCGCAAGACGCTACTATCGCATCGCGTTCGGCGATCGGGGGATCCCAATGGGGCCGCACGAAAGGTCACTCTGGCGAAAGGTCACTCTTGCGTAGTCAGACAGTATTTGCATCAGGGTGCTCCCATCGTCCGGCATGGCGGGAGGACGCGGAGGGCACTTCGGAGATGCCACTGGCGTCCGCCAGTCTGGCCACCCGCCCTCCCCAGTCTCCTCCAAACATGCGTACGAGTCGCCAGCCCGACGTGCAAGTGGTGGGTGCGATCCCCCCGCGTATAGGGGACTATTTAAAAAGATGCCAGGTGTACCAAATGCTCGTGGACGAAGCTTTCGCCCGCGTCAAGTATCAAGTATTACGTACTGCAGTCAAGTGAATATTGTTGGTAGTGAAATTTAAGAGCAGATATGCACGCATCGGAGGCGTCAGGGGGCATGTGTCATGTCTCCTGACGCCTCCGACGACTCCGACACCGACGACGACGACGACGACGCCGATGACGACGACGTCGACGACGACGACGACGACGACGACAACGACTCCGACGACGACGACTCCCACAACGCCGACGACTCCGACGACTCCGACGGCCCCGACACCGACGACGACGACGCCGACGACATCGACGACTCCGACGACTCCAACGACGACGACGACGACGACGACTCCGATACCGATGACGACGACGACGACTCCGACGACTCCGACACCGACGACGACGACGACGCCGACGACTCCGACGACTCCGACGAACGCGACACCGACGACTCCGACTGCGGCAGCAGCAGCGGCAGTCAAAGGTTTTTAGACTTGAGCCAACGTGCAAACCACGGTGCACTCACACTGTCCTGCGTATGCAACAGTACAAACGATAGTACACACACTACCGTAAATCAAGGATAAACGTCCACTAGCTAAACCTGTAGGTGAAAATATGGCACGCATTCACATGCCCTAAGCTTTCTTGCAGGTTTAGAGGTCCCCTGTGGACGTCGCAAGCTCCTAATCATCAGTGCACTGGCGCCTTCGCGCGCTGGTACAAAACAAAAGAGATGTTCTCCTTGGTCTCACTGGAACACCTCTGTGGTGTCCGGCACCGGGGCAGGAGGTTGAGGACAGGAAGGGAGGAGGAGGGGAGAGCAACAACCACCACCACCACTGCCGATCGAGTCCTCGGAGAAGCTCGAGAAGAACTCACTCCAAGAAATCATCTCGGCCTGATTCAACTCCTTCCTCGAGGCGGCTTGGGAACGATTATTCAGGCCTGGCTGCTCTCGTCTCCGCTCGACTTCTGACCCTTCGTCTATGAGGATCAATCCCCCGCTGGTCATGAGGTCGAACAGTGCCGCGTTACACTTGGTAACGTCATCCTTGGTCAACGAGTCGACTGGCATCCTACCGTGTGGTATCCAACGAACTCTACCTCTAGCACGTTCTAGAGCCTCGCAGATTATGGCTAGGTCGATGGTCGTCCTTCTATATTTTGCACTAGCATTTCCTTCCTTCATCATCGTGTCGTAAATAGACTTGGCATCTACGACATGCACCTGCTTCTCTCTAGATCCCAGACGGCAGTCCCGGCGTATAACAATAGTGAACGGCCCGGACCCCCTATGATGGTCTCGAACATGGACAGCATTAAAAACAACATCTCGGTATAAAATCTGAAGATATTCTACTTCTGCTACTGCGGCAGACAGGGCTTGTGTTTCCCCTGCCAACGTAGAGGGCACCTTCCTACGGAGCTTTGAGCTCCTCCAGCCGAGGATGGACGCCTTAACAGCCTTGTTATCTAGAGTAGCCTGGTCACAAGCGAGAACCATCCATGCCCCTTGGGTAGGATCCTCGGGGAGGCCCTTCTCGTCTATCATATCCCCGAAAGCGCCCGCACCCCCTGCATCTGAAAATGATACGAAAGCCATTTTATCTGGGTCCAGCTTCCATACAGTAATGCCCCTGGATGCTGATGATCGTAGATGGCGAACGAACTCATTGGCGATGATTGTGTCTCTGGTGGTTGCCGCCTTCAGGCGACTTGCCAAAATACTCGCCACTCCGGCTGCCTCTGGACGAACCTCGCGTCCGAGCCAGTTGAACTTATACACTAGAGATCTCAAAGCACGGAACTCAGAGGGTTCGAGTGGAGCATCTTTGTGCGACAACCTACCTCGTGCCACGGACAACGGTCGTATCTCCTCCAAGATATACTTTTCCATGTCTACGGCAGCACGTTTGGGCCCGATGGTGATTCGACGTCCTGCAAAGTCCACCGGTCCGGCACCACAGTCGCGGTATTTTCCGAACTTGAACCTCGATTCCAGTCGGTCCCTGAGCCACTTGCGGTCCTCGGTCGTAGCACTCCCAATAAAGAAATCGTCAACTTCTAGAAGCATCATGTTCCGAACACTGCCGTTTGGTCCATATCGTATCCACCAGCAGGGTTCTAACAGGGAGCGCGTAGATCCGTGACGCTCCAAGAAGCTGACGACCGTCTTTCTCCAGGCCACGGGGGCGTCGTCAAGTCCGTAAACATTCACCTTTAAGAGAATCAAGGAACCTGGGGGAAGTTTGATTCCTTCGCAGGGTTCCACGAAGATTTGGCCCTGGGTGCGGGACATGGGGTCGGACTGACAGAACGCATTTTTAACATCGGCAATGTCGGCAAATAAACCCAGGTTCATGACAACCTGCAAAAACATCATGATGCTCGACGTTTGCGGCGTTGGGGCATAGACCGCCAACGCCCCTGAATCGGGGTCTCTGTGCCCATGAACGCACCATCGTGATTTGGCATCGGGGTCCTTCAACGTTCCTTCCACCGGCTTCCATCGTCGGACCATTCTACTAGAAATGATCCGATCCGAGTGCAGCTTCCGCACGACCTCCGCCTTCGCCGGGGAAATAATCTCGACCGCTCCCGTGCCTGGCGTCGCTTCCCACTCCTTGGAGTCGGAGGCGACGAACTTCTCCCTCTCGGCTGGCGACAGATTTTTCAGAGAAACCCCCCCCCCCCCCCTACTAGTGGCAAAGACCTCGGAATCCTCGAAAGCTCCCGGGTCCAGGAGCCTGGCCTGGACACCGTCGCCAACATTCCCTGGGAAGATGTGGAAGTCAGCGGCTCCTCCCGCGGGCGATCGACTCCTGCCTCTAGCGGGTGGTCGTGCTAGGCCCGGCGTCTCGAGATCGCGCACCATCTGGCTGACTGGTCTTCGAGGTTCCAGCCGGCCTGACTGCACCTGTCTGGCTGGCTCCTCCTCTCTTACAACATGCGACGCCCCAGCCTCGGAAGAGGAAGGTAAGGGGTGGCAAGAGGAGGAAGGACCAGACGAGAGGGGAGGGGCAGTCGCAAGGCCAGGAGGTGGGGACCCAATCCTTGGTCTTTTCACTTCCGGCGGGGCCTCGGACCTGGCGCGACGGATGCATGCCGGCACGTCCTCGGGCTGAGCCAGGCGTGCCCTGGGTCTGGGAGGAACACTGGTCATCCGAGATCCCCCAGCCACCCCTTCTGACTTCGGCTCCTCTTGAAAACGAGGAAGAAGAAGAGGAAGAGGAGGGGGAGGAGGAACAGGAGGCACGGAAACGGAAGGAGGAGTAGCAGCAACCGGAGAAGGAAAGGCGGAGGGATCCGGAGCAGGGATCGGAGGCTCTACTCTCTCGGCTCCTTCCCTGGAACCATGAGCTTCCGAGGACTGACGGGAGAGGTCGTTAGATGGGAACCTGGTCCTCTCCGACCCGGCTTGGGCCTCCGCCGATCCGGCCTCGGAATTTGGCCCTCGTTCCTCGGCCCTGGGACCCTCGGGAACGCGGCGAATCCCGGAGTCGGGAATCGAGGCCCCTGGGGAAAACGAAGGAACTGGGACCGCTGGGGCGGGACGACTAGCCTCTGGCAATGACTCGGGTTGACCTGGCACCTGAGGGGCCGGATCCATATCCCTCCTAACCTGGTTGTCCCACGCATCCTCTGGTGGTGGGCATTCTCGCTGCACGTCCACAGCGGTGGCCCGTCGGGTGGCTGACTGTCTTAGCAGTTCCTGCCATTGAGGACTCTGCGTCAACTGCACCCCCAGCTCCTCATCAGCGCTCGCGAGACGCAGCTGCTCGGCCGAGCACTTCCACAAACGCGCTCGCACCGCCGCCCAGACAGTCCCGCCCTGAGCGAGCACCACGGCCCCGGGACCACACCATCCGTCACGACGCCGGCCGAGAGCATCCGCTCGAGACGAGGACCTAGTCATATGTCTCCACACGTAGACCCATTGTCCAGGCAAGAACTCCCTGGGAGCGGGGCCCCGGGCCCTCGAGGCGCGGCTCATCTTCTCGCGGGCCATGGCTCGCATAGCCAGGTCGCGAGCAGAGGCCCTGATCTGCTGGGCCCTGGCGAACTCAGCACCGGCCGCATCCTGCTCGGAGGAAGGTCGGAGAGAGTCTTCCCAGCCTGGGAGACCGTAAGAATCGTCGCTTAAAAGGTCGTGTGGAAGTCGTGGGTTCTCTCCGAACACGAGCTGGAGTGGCGAGAACCCTCCTCTGTGCCAATATCGATTCTTATGGGCTGTGAGCTCGTGAGCGAGCGTGTCCAGCTCTTCCAGATCCCCTGGCGGATGAGCTCCGGCGTCGAGCTCAGCCTTCACGCGGTCTTTAATCCAACCCCCATGGC